CAGAATAATGAGACAAATTAATTGGCTTAAAAAAAAAACAAAAAATTTTTTACATAATATAAAAAAAAAATTTTTTTTAAGCCAATTAATTTGTCTCATTCTGGGCAAAAGCTGTGCAAAAAAGCATTAAGACAAGATAACCGAAAGAAGAATATTTTACGAGATATTTTGTATTCTATGTCAAAGTGCTGGAAATTTCAAGTGTTATTACTCGAAAAGTTCTTAACGAAAAAATATTTTATTATAGCGTTTTGGAAAGCTCTCGAGATGTGCTATAAGAATATGCAATGAAAAATGGGGTGTTCCATTTAAAAAAATTAATGTGACCTTGACCTGACCTTCGCTACGCAACCCAAGGTCAAACTGATGTGATCAGTAAATACATCTTTTTAAACGCCACAACTTTTATCTGAAACATTTTTTTCTAAAATGCTTAGTTTTCGAGATATTTCACCGGTCCGGGACTTTTTGAACACCCTGTATACGGGGGTAACTTTAAAGTTCCATATAGGACCCTCTATACAATGTTACTATTTGGATTCTACTGGAAAAAACAAATAAACTTTGAAACATTTCTTTGGATAATGCTTCTATCAAAAGTTATAATCATTTAAACTTTTAGACATTTTATTTATGATGAACTTTATTGACACAAAGTTATGTTCGCGATACAACGAAAACGACCTTAGAGTACATACTTGATGTTAACCAAAAGAAACATAAATACACACATTTATCGGGAAACATAAATACAGATCTATGTTAGTTTAGAGCTGGTTTTGGTGCTATCAAGTTCGAAAATCATGGCTCGTTTTGACATGGAAGTTAATATGTTGTTAATTCTGGGAGAATGTGAGAAAAATTATCGACGTGCAGCGCAATTATTTGTAGAACGTTATAATATTCAAAAATCGCATATAGCATTTCTTAAAATTTTAAATCGTTTTCGTTTAGAAAATCGTTTACATCAGGGTGGTCCTTATTTTTCGATTTTCAAATTTTTTCTGCGGCACCTTCCAAAAAGTTTCCATTTGACAAAAAAGAAATCCCTGCCAAACTTTTACTCGATCAGATAACGAGAACCCGTGCTCCCGGGTCGTTAAACATTGGAATACTCTATTAAGCTGTCTACGTTATCAATATGGTTTCTAAAGCGTGTTCTTTACAAAAATCGCCTTAGAGAACTTTTCTTTTTTCTTTCTATATCGTTTGAGATCTTATAGTCTCATTTAAACAATTAGATAAATTGTTTATGATTAAAAAATAAAAATAAATAGTTATTGCATTTATTGTTTAAACTACAACAAATCATGTATGAACTATAAAAAGACTATAAAAGTTGCAATAGTATATTTGGACGATATAAATGTAAAACATGATGTTTTTTTTATGTTTTTATTAATAAGGAAATTTTTTAAATTAAATACTACATAATAATTAATAACCTCGTGGCTCGTAATCTTATGCTGGGAGGGGACCATAGATATATAATACCTAGGGCACGGGTTTTCCCATTATCTGTACGCATCAAACAATATAAAGAAATAGCATTCTATCGGTAAAAAGTTTGTCTTTTTCTAACGAAGGCTGTTTTATTCCCACCACTTATCGTATTCTTGTGGCGGGAATAAAGCAGGCTTCGTTAAAAAGAAACATACTTTTTACCGAAAGAATGCTATTTCTTTATATTGTTTGACGCGTTCAGACAATGGAAAACGTTGCGAATCTGCAGCCTAGGTATTATACAGTTTGTTTGATAAGAGCGTGTCCAGCAAAACTTTTACATATAAACGGGTAAACGGAAAATTCAAAGAGGAGTCGGTAGAGACACCTTTTGCCTAAGATGCTTTGTTGATAAAGCTTTAGTTGTTATTCGATCTTCGTGATAAAAATATATATTTCGCCATGAATGCCAAATATACATCGCGTTTCGAAGCTGTATTTCTTTGTACACATCTGAAAGGACCAAAAATATCACGCCAAGCGGCTGCTAAGTACATGAGAAAGTCAAAAGCATTTGTAAATAAGTGGGTGAATCGCTACTTAGAGGTAAAAAATGTCGATGATTTACCGAAACGTGGCTCTACGCAAGGATTTGGCATTTTGCATATCTTCACAAACCATTTAAATGCTAGCAAAATAGTCAAAATTTATGAGAAGGCTTTATTACTATCTGCTAAAACATGGTTTATAAGGAAAAACGAAAAATGGATACTACAAGAGGACAATGATCCTAAACATCAAAGTCGGCTTTGTACCGCGTGGAAATAAGAAAATAATGTTGGAAATGAGAAAATGTTGAATTACTGGATTGGCCGTCACAGTCACCGGATGCAAATCCTATTGAAAACGTTTGATCCTTGATGAAGTTTAAACTTCGTGGAAAGAAAATTTGATCGGTCAAGAAATTAGTACGACAAATTCGATTGATATGGAGATCTTTACTTCAAGAATATGCTATAAAATTAGTTGAAAGTATGCCTTGGAGATGCTAGGCAATTATAACATCACAGTTCTCTAGTCAAGTAGTATGTGTGTATTTTATTCCAAATCATTTCAATAAATTACTTATCAAATTTTGCCGTACACGCTCTTATCAATCAGACTGTATATCTATGGTCCCCTCCTAGCATAAGATTAGGAGCCATGAGATTATTATTATGTAATATTTAATTTAAAAAGTTTCTTTATTAATAAAAACATGAAAGGTATCATGTTTTATATTTATATTGTCCTCCAAACATAATATTGCAACTTTTGTATTCATACATGATTTGTTGTAGCTCAAACAATAAATACAATAACTATTTATTTTTATTTTTTAATCATTAACAATTTATCTAATTGATAAAATGAGACTATAAGGTCTCAAACGATGTAGAAAGAAAAAAGAAATATCTTCTAAGGCGATTTTTGTGGAAAACACGCTTTAAAATTGGTAACAAAGACAGCTTAATATAAAGGTACTCTAATGTTTAACGATCCGGGGGCACGGGTTCTCATTATCCGATCGAGCAAAAGTTTAGCAGGGATTTCTTTTTTGTCAAATGGAAACTTTTTGAAGGATGCCGCGGGAAAAATTCGAAAAAAAATTTTGACCAAGAATAAATAAGGACCACCTTAGTGTACATGGTCAATTAAGTACAATTAAAAGACAAAAAGCTTATAAGAGAAAACTTATTAAAAACAAAATCTTATTTAATTTATCATTAATTTCAATGCACACTACATTAAACTTTTAAATGTTTATAACTTTTGATAGGAGCATTTTCCAAAGAAACGTTTCAAAGTTTACTTGTTTTTTCTCGTAGAATCCAAATATGTAATATTGTATAGGGGGTCTCATTTGAAACTTTGAAGTTACCCTCCGCCCCTCTTCAAGGGGAGACGAAAATGGATTTTTGTTTACATAGTTAGAAAGGCCGACTCGCGACTTTGCGATTCGATATATGAGCATCGCGAACCACGCTGCGCTCCTATATCTCGCTTCGGCGCAGTGCGGCAAGACGTAAGAGCACAACATAAGCATAAGCAGTGGTGCGTTGTTCTTCCAATCGTCACGCACCGACATTCGCGAGATTGCTGGATGGCATTATAGCTCGAACGCTCCTCCTCCAACCATTGAACACGCGTCCTTCCCTTAATTTTTCGCAGTTAATTTCTCGATTATTATTGCGAATATCGCAAAACAGTGTAGGTATTTTATGATCATCTCGACCCGCTCTACGTTCTCATGAGAGCTTCACAGATTTTTCTGAGACATCCTGTGGCTGTGTATATATATATTTATATATATATATATATATATATATATATATATATATATATATATATATAAGATGTCCCACGTAAAGTGTTACAAGCTAATAACTCTAAACATATTTGTCTTATCAAAAAGTTGTTCATGAGAAAGTTTCATATATTCGAGGCGTAGTTAGAGAAATCTATGAAGCTCTCATGAGAACGTAGAGCGGGTCGAGATGAACGTAATACCTACATCGTTTTGCGATATTCGCAATAATAATCGAGAAATTAATTGCGAAAAATTAAAGGAAGACGCGTGCTCAATGGTCGGAGCGTTCGAGTCATAATGCCATCCAGTAACATACCGCGCGAATGTCGGCGCGTGACGATTGGAAGAACAATGCATCACTGCTTATGCTTATGTTGTGCTCCTACGTCTTGCCACACCGCGCCGAGACGAGATATAGGAGCGCAGCGTGATTCGCAATGCTCATATATCGAATCGCGGTTGCCACTTTAACGTTATAAAAACGTAGTAAAAAATATAATCTAATTAACGTTTTGCGATGCAATATTACTCATATTTAGTCCAATTTTGAATAAATTTTTAAATTATTGAAGCATACCTGACAATGTTTCTATAATAATGTGAATAACAATATTTTTTTCCATTATATATATATATATATATATATATATATATATATATATATATATATATATATATATATATA